AACCCCCCTCCCTGCCGCATCAGCATGGCGGGGACACCAGCAATGCCAGCGAGCCCCTTGTCTGTGAGAAACCTCTAAGCAAGGAAATAGAAACCCCTTCAAAGAGGTGAGATTTTGGGGTAGGAGGACCCTCGTGCTGCTGAAACTCAGCTAGCATTTGGGCTGAGCATCCTGCTGACCCCCAAAAATATAAAAATCTTCTTTCTCAGACAATCCCGTCGCAAATTGGATTCATGCGCGCTCCACGAGGAAGAAAAGATGTCCTTACACAAAGTATCAGACCCTGGAACTGGAAAAAGAGTTTTTATTCAATATGTACCTTACACGGGACCGAAGGTACGAAGTAGCCAGAGTCCTTAATCTCACTGAACGCCAAGTCAAAATCTGGTTTCAGAACAGGCGAATGAAAATGAAGAAAATGAATAAAGAAAAAACCGATAAAGAACAGCAATAAAGTTGGCAAAGTCCAGTCGGTGGAAGGAGGAGGGGGAGAGAAAGAAAGAAAGAAAGAAAGAAAGCCCTTTTATACAGTTAGCTGCAGCCGCCTGGGCTTGTTGCTGGCAGAAAGTAGGACACTCCTGCTGGGTTTTCTTCTTTGGGAAGGCTAAACTTGGCTGTGAGTAGGTGGCGGCAGCCTGCATAGGAAGTACGTGTGCATCTCCCCATCCCTGCCCCGGCTCGGCCGGCTCTGTGGCCGCGGGGCTGGAGTGCTGCTGCCGAGAGCTGCATGTCCGGCTGCTCCGGCGTGTTTGCCCCGGGGGGCTTAAACCCAGGCTTGCAAAGGGAATCGCATGTTCAGCTCGCCGAGATGAGCAGGAATTAAAGCTTAAATGTCTCTGCTGTTCAGGCTGCTGTGGAATGTCAGAGGTTTTGAGTTGGAGCTTGTTGGGGTGGACGTGCGGTTGGTGGAAGGGGAGCTGGGAGGTTCTGGAGCAGGGTGCCCTGGTGTGTTTGCAGGGATTCAGCAGCTCATGGCCAGGCTGTGTGTCCAAGTCGGGTGTGGGGATGTGGAATGAATGGTAGTTGCTGGTGTTGGGGTTGCTAGGGGAAAAGCTGCTGCTTAAACCCTACTTACTTCAGCTAAATAACTCTACTTACTTAAGCAAAATAACTGGTATCTCTCAACAGGGGGTTAAATTGGGGTTAGGCAATTTAATGTGAATTAGGTTAAAGGAGGCAGGAGAGTAGAGCAACCACCGAGCCATGGAGCATCTTTGGGCTGGGTGATGCCCGTGGCTCTGCATGGGTGGCTGTGGTCCACTCTGGCTGTTCTCCTGGATTTTCCCCCTGCATCTCTGTTCCCCACATTGTGTGTGGGGGACTTGCTTGGTGCCTTGTGCCAAGGGTGCAGCTTCACAGTCTCCCGCATGAAAAGCCCCAGTGGGAAGGGAGCTCCAGTGCGTGTGGCCATGGGCAGGGGATCGCTACCCCTGTGACTCCAATCAGGGTACCCAGGGCAATGGGCTGGCCAACATGAGGCCATAGAGTTTAAGAGTGTGATTTGGAGTGATATCCTCAGAGGAAAGAAGGACAGCCACTAGGGCAGGGGCTAGCAAGTCCCTGGGGCTGCAGTTTGATGTGGAGGTGGAATTCGCTTATTTCTTCTCCTAGTCCGTATTCTCCATTTTTGTGGAAGTAAACACAGCTTGTAATACCCTCCAAATCCCTTGGATCTGCTTCAAAAGATATTTCCCTGCTGCTCCTAATCCTGCAGTGGTCAGCAAGCAGGGTTGCCTTGTCTGATTTCTTCTGAGCTGCAGGAGGGGGTTATTAGTCTGCTCCTGCGTCTCTCCTGACCTTTGGGGTAAATCGGGATTGAGAGGGACTTCGTGCAGCCACGTGTTTTATCCTCCCACGTGGTGCTGCGATGGTGCCTCTGCCAAGCCTTGGGTCCAAGCCCATCTTGGGAGGATTTCCAGTGATGCCCAAATCTGGCTGCAGGTGGAGTGTCCCGATCTATAGCCAAGATGTGGCCGTCCGTGTCCATCCTGTGTGTCCTGGTGGCCTTCGCCAATGCTCGCAGCATTCCTCACTACCCGCCTCTCTCCAGCGACTTGGTCAACCACATAAACAAGCTCAACACCACCTGGAAGGTGAGTACGTTATATTTGGATGCATTGCTCAGCAGTCTCTTTGTGAGACTCCATAGCTGAGCTTTGGGAGTCTCAGCATGGTGGTTGCTTCAAAGCAGCCTTGGTCCCAGTTACCTTCTCCAGTGAGTTGATGCTGTCAGGGATTCCCATGGTGACAGTAACTGTGGATCTCCTCTGTGGAGCAGAGCACTGATGAATCTGTAAAGTAGGAGCAATGCTAAGAGAAGGAAACTCTGGTAGGCTGGAAACAAGCAGCAAGCGTTGAGATGTGTTGGTGACCTGGCCAAACCCTCCTCAGCCAGGTTACAGTGGCCAAAGCCCAGAGTTGGACCTTAGCTTGCTGGTCGTGATGCAGTCATTGGGGAAGGGGCTGTGTCCCGTGTCTGTAGGTAGCCTGGCTCTTGGCCCCTGGGTTTTGTGGCAAGTGTCAGACACTGGTTGGGTTTGAGGGAGATCTTGAGCACCAGGCTGGTCGCAGCAATGCACTTGGTGGCTGTGAAGAGTCATGTCCATTTCCCTGTGTCTCTTCCAGGCAGGGCACAACTTCCACAACACTGACATGAGCTATGTGAAGAAGCTCTGCGGCACCTTCCTGGGCGGGCCCAAGCTCCCCGAGAGGTGAGTGCTGGGAGAGGAAGATGAGCACCCTGTAAAAGCTTGTGTGGATGCTCCTGGTGTGTCTGGGGTGCATGAGGATCTCCTGGCAGAGCTTGGTGGGCATCATGCATGGAATTAAGCACAGAAGCATGCGGAAAAGGGCTGGGAACATCCATCCTCTGTTCTGTAAGATGCTTGACCAGTCGTACTCCTTGAACCTTATAACACTGGAGGAGCTGCTGACCTGGTCTGAGGACTTCAGAAGTATTTATTCTCTTTCTCTAAGCAAACAAGAGCCCTTGTCCTCCAGGTCACCTTCAGAGGAGGCTGGGGAGTCCTGTACACCGAGTCCTGTTACACTGGTGCTCCAATAACAGGACTTCTTTCTTCTCACTTCCAGGGTGGATTTCGCTGCAGACATGGAGCTGCCCGATACCTTTGACTCACGGACACAGTGGCCTAACTGCCCTACCATCAGCGAGATAAGAGACCAGGGATCTTGTGGCTCTTGCTGGGTAAGAGCATGGGCAGTTTGAAGTCATGTTGATACAGAGTTTGCTGGACAAAAAGAATGCCATTGAGTTTGCTACTGAATGGCATAAGTGGGGGGATGTGAGGGGATCCTGCAGTGTCTGGGCTTCTCGGTGGGCTTCTCCTAGCCAGGGTTATGCTTGCTGTAGTCATTGCCAGAAGGTTGCCTGGGTTCTCTCCCATGGCTGGCTCTAATGGTCTTCCCTTGGGTTTTTTGGGGGCTGCCCACAGGCTTTTGGCGCTGTAGAAGCGATTTCAGACAGGATCTGTGTTCACACGAACGCCAAGGTGAGCGTGGAGGTCTCAGCGGAGGACTTGCTGTCGTGCTGCGGCTTCGAGTGTGGCATGGGGTGAGCTGCTTTTGGTTCTTGTGCACTTGAAGGGTGGGTGGGAGGAGCAGGAGCACAACCTGGAGTTGCTGATCATTTCAGCCCTGTCTTCCTGCCAGGTTGGATGGGGCTTGGAGCAACCTGCTCTAGTGGAAGGTGTCTGGAAGGGTTGGACTGGATGAGCTTTCAGGTTCCTGCCAACCCAAACTACTCTGTGGTTCCTGGTCTCCCACGAGCAGGCAGCCCTACTAGTGGTGTGTGCTGTAGATGCTGGAGTTAGGTGGGAACATAAAGGTGACTGCATGGACTGGGAAGTCCCTCTGGGCCACATCCTACCCCCAGCAGCAGTGGACGATGATGGCTGGTGGAGGGAGGGCAAGCACATAACAGAGGTGGCAGCTGCCTAGCTCCAGAGCCTTGGTTTTCTGGCACAAGCCTTTTGCAGTTGTGGAGAGCAGGGTGGGGAGGTGGGTCTCCAAACTGTGTGGCTTCTGCTTGCTCCTGACAGCAGAGGCTGACCCAGGAACCCAGTAAGGAGGCACCACTGCTTTGGGATTTGGAGGCACGGGTGCTCTTAGCTTCTTCTTGCCCTGAAGCCTTGGTGTGTTGAAGCCTAGAAATCCTGGGGAAGGCAGCGACTCAATGTGCCAAAAGCTTCCCTTCAGCCGTCCCAAGGTGGCTCCATTTCCCCCAAAAGGGGTGGCTCTGAGCAGGCTGGAGCTGGAACTGCTGCTCTTTCTCCAGGTGCAACGGTGGTTACCCCTCTGGAGCATGGAGGTACTGGACAGAGAGGGGCCTCGTGTCTGGGGGTCTCTACGATTCCCATGTGGGTAAGTCCTGGCAGATACCTTTGTGACAGCAAAGAGAACCTCTGCTTGGTTACAGGTTCATGTCCTTCATGGTGCCTCTCTTCTGGTCTGAATCGTTGTAGATGCTCCCCCCTTCAGGTGTGGGCTCAAACATTTCTGCTATCCCAGATGCAGGCTGCTCCTGTCCCCATCTATGGCTCCTTCTGGTAAACTGCTGGGACAAGGGTTCCTGAGCAGCACCTAGTGGCAGGAGACCCATCCAGGAAAGGAGCACTTCAGACAGGCTTGACAACCCTGCAAGGCTTCTGCTTCCATAGTAGGAATGAATCAGGCTGTGAATTTTTTGTTGCTGGGTTTTGATTGGTTCAATAGACTTTGGATGAGGGCAGGAGTCTTCCTGACATGTTTTCTCCCTCAAAGAGTAACTTCCAGACTGGAAACCCCTGACTTCTGTTAGCACGTGACTGTAGCGATAGGACAGGGGGGAATGGGTTCAAGCTTAAAGAGGGGAGAATGGCGTTAGATATAAGGAGGAAATTCTTCCCTGTGAGGGTGCTGAGGCGCTGGCACAGGGTGCCCAGAGAAGCTGTGGCTGCCCCATCCCTGGCAGTGTTCAAGGGCAGGTTGGACACAGAGGCTTTGAGCAACCTGCTCTGGTGGAAGGTGTCCCTGCCCATGGCAGGGGGTTGAAACTGTGTGAGCTTTAAGGACCCTGCATCTGGTGCCTTCTCCATCATGGCTCTTGGACAGGGGTACTTGGGGACAGCCAGTTCACGACTGTCTCTCCTCGACAGGCTGCCGTCCCTACTCCATCCCGCCCTGTGAGCACCACGTCAACGGCTCCCGGCCACCCTGCACTGGGGAGGGAGGAGATACCCCGAGGTGCAGCCGGCACTGCGAGCCCGGCTACTCGCCCTCGTACAAGGAGGACAAGCACTACGGTAGGGGTGGCCTCCAGCACTGCTTGATGCACAGCGGATCCGGAGCTGTTCCCAGGGGGGCTGGTGGGGTTGGACCTCTTCCTAAGCTGGTTTATGATGGTTATTCTCTGTGCCCTCAGGGATGGGTGGTCCTGCAGCAAACGTAAGCCTGGCAGATGCACAGTTTGTATTTGCTGAGGCTCAACTGAGATGGGAACTGATTTGTGTCCATGTGGCGCACATGCCTTGGTTGAAGAGCATGGTGCTGAGCCGTGGGGGAGTCTGGTGTTGGAGCCACCTCCTACTTACTTCTTGGTAGCAAACCCTATACATGTAGAATAATCTGGTTGTTTCTTGGGGGATTTGTCTTGGCTTCGAGTAATTTGGGTTGGTTTGGAAATGGGGATGTACAAGGAGAAAACTTCCTACCAAAGCTGTCTGGAACAGGTCTTCAGGTACAGAACAGGACTCGGGTTAAATCATTCCCTCTGGAGGAGGGATGGTTGGGGCCCACTTTTTGTGCTTGGCTGTGTCAGTGCCTCTGGAGCAGCTGGGTTTGAATTCAGGCTTTAACTGGAGAAGGGCTCTGGCAAGGGCAGGCTGAGCCCTCTTTCCAGCCATCCCAAGATCTTTGTGGCCTGACAATGCCATACTAATGGTGAGACATTTTTCCTCCCTAGGCATCACCTCCTATGGTGTCCCTCACAGTGAGAAGGAAATCATGGCTGAGATCTACAAGAATGGCCCAGTGGAAGGAGCTTTTATTGTCTATGAGGACTTCCTGATGTACAAGTCTGGTGAGCATCAACACTGAGACTGCAGGGAGCCCTGTTCCCTAATACATCCATAGAATCCATCTTTTGTGGCTCTTGTCCCTCTACTCAAGTCTGAAAAGAGATCTCAAGTTCCTACTGGAGTATCTGGTGTTACAAGAGCATGGGAACAAGATACCATCTCCCTTATCCGTTGGTTTATAGCAAGCGGGATAGGAGCTTGGGACTGGCTCAGGGAGGAAACCCCAGTGGGGAGCCCCCAGAAGTGCAGCTAGGGTTTGGAACAACAGCTGGGATTTTAGGTAAGATCCTGGCAGGTGGCTCTCCTGATGCAGACCCCAGTTCCCTGTTTTGAGCTGCTTGGGATGTGCTGTGTTTGGGCCCCTTGCCGAGTGGATCTGGGTGTCCTGTGTGCTGAGGTGATGCAGAGCATCAGTCCTTCCTTCAGACTCTACACTAAGCTTCAGGTTTGCTTTAACCTGACAGAGGGGAGATTCAGGTTAGATATAAGAAAAATTCTTCCCTGTGAGGGTGCTGAGTCCCTGGCACAGGTTGCCCAGAGAAGCTGTGGCTGCCCCATCCCTGGCAGTGTTCAAGGCCAGGTTGGACACAGGGGCTTGGAGCAACCTGCTCTAGTGGAAGGTGTCCCTGCCCACAGCAGGGGGTTGGGACTGGATGAGCTTTAAGGTCCCTTCCAACACAAACCATTGTGTGATTCTGTGTTTTAACCAAACCCACTTTCTTGGCCTGTCGGTGGGGTTTGAAACCCAATGTCTCTCAAGCTGTGGGCGCTCTGAGGCGCAGCAGCACAGTGCCCATTGACATGTTGGTGTGTTGCCTTGCAGGGGTCTACCAGCACGTGTCCGGCGAGCAGGTTGGAGGCCACGCCATCCGGCTCCTGGGCTGGGGCGTGGATAACGGCACTCCCTACTGGCTGGCTGCCAACTCCTGGAACACCGACTGGGGGGACAACGGTGAGGCACCCTGGATGCTGCCGGGGGAACCCCCTCCCTGTTCTCCTTGGCACCATGGGGATGTTGACTGGTGCTGTTGTTTGCTTTCAGGCTTCTTCAAGATCCTCCGAGGAGAGGACCACTGTGGCATCGAGTCAGAGATTGTGGCCGGTATCCCCAGGACGGAGCAGTACTGGAAGAGGATGTAACCTTGATCAAACCACAAATAACCCTGAGTCCCCGATGCTTTTAACTGATAGTGGGTTGGGTGCAGAGCCCCCCTTTCTAAAAGACTATAGTTGAGGTTACTTTATTAAAGCTTTTTATCTTTTTTTTTTTTTTTTTTTTTTTTTTGTTTTTTTTTTTTAATGTATGGTGGAGCTGGAGGTGGATCTGCTCTTCACAAGCCCCTCTGCTCCTGCTGGGTTGCACCTATGGGGCATTACCCACTCAAAGGACTGCTGAAGGGCTTGTTGGCCTCTTGTGCCATGATACTTGGTTAGCCTGGACCCCTTCCAGCACTGTCTGTTACCGGGAGGATAGGAAGCAGTAGCTTTGCGTTGGGACTAGGGACTTGGTGGGGTGGTGGAGATGGACCCTGCTGGGAAGCCATGGCCAGGAGTAATGTGTGCACCCCTGGCTGGGTTGTTCTGACTGTTGGTGCCCAAAATAATCAGGGTATGTTAGCAGGTGCCTTGAACTGGTTAAACTTAGAGCTATTAATGATGATGTACTGATGAACTTGATGTGGGGCTGGCTCTGGCGGGAGCTGCATTAAGGCCCCCTCCTGCCTGCAATAAGTCCTTTGTGCATCACTTGCTCCATCCACTCAGCTGCTTTTTAAACCACTTTTTCCTCAGCTGTTTATCTGCTTTTTCTGCTGTAGTCTGGGGTTATTGATCCTAAGAAAGGGCCTGGCTGGAGCTCCACGAGCCTTTGATCTAATATCCTGCAAGCATCTAGGAGCACGATGGAAGGAGCAAACCACTTACTTGCAGCTTGGTGTGCAGGGCGGGGTCATGCCTTGGTGAGGGTGCTGGACCCAACACTGACGTGGTGCTTTGGGATGACCTGTGCTGAACGCTGAGCAGGGGTGAAGGATGTTCCCCAGGTCTGCTGCAGGGAGCTCATGCAGATGCTTGGAGGTATCTTGCTAACTTGCACACAGTGGAAGGTTTTTTTCTTTCCTTTTTGAGGCACGGGCATTAAGGAAGAAGAAAACATCCTTATTTTTATTGCGGGGAGAGGTGTAATAGCCATGTAGGAGGAATCCTGTGATTTGCTGACACTAATGTAGTGAAAGAGCATTTCTTTTAAAGCACAAAGTATATTGCTGAGCTGAGGCTACATGCCTGGAACATGTGAAGCAGGCTCTCCCTTGCACTGTAAAATAGCCCCTTACCTCTGCTTACTCACCAGTGAGACAGAGCTGTGGTGTATGTGATTGGAACAACTGTGCCAATAAATGATTTCTCCACTTTCTTGTCTCCTGGCCCTTGGTTGCTTCTTCTTGACCACAAACTATACTCCTGTGCACTGTGGAAGCCACACTGTCTTCATTTAAGTGTGGTCAGTGCCAGCCGTGTCCTCGGGCCATGCTGGTGACAGCACAGCTACAGCCACTCCTTTGGGCTTGTGCTGATTCCTGAGCAGCCCCTGGGAATTGCCTTCTCTTGGTGGTGGGTGAAGTGATTCAGTGTGGACCAGAGCACAGCCAGGGCTGCCCCCAGCATCTCTGCACACTGGTACAGGGGCTGTGGGGATGCACCAAGGCACTGGGGAGCATGGCTCCAGCCCCAGGCTCTGCCGCTTCTGCTGCCTGCAGTGCAAGGCCCAGGAAAAGTCAGCTTTCTGACCTTTAGCTGTCTCCCACTCTGGTTAAAATTACTCCTTTGGGCTGACAAATAAAGCTTTACTGTAATGCTCTAAGGAGCAGCATCTTAGAGCAGCCTTCCAATGCCTAAAGGGGCATACAAGCAAGCTGGAGAGAGACCTTTTACTAGGGCATATAGGGACAGGAAAAGGGGCAATGGCTTTGAACTGACAAGAGGGGAGATTGAGATGAGATCTTAGGCAGAAGTTCTTCCTTGTGAGGGTGCTGAGGCCCTGGCACAGGGTGCCCAGAGAAGCTGTGGCTGCCCCATCCCTGGCAGTGTTCAAGGCCAGGTTGGACACAGGGGCTTGGAGCAACCTGCTCTAGTGGAAGGTGTCCCTGCCCATGGCAGGGGGTTGAAACTGTGTGAGCTTTAAGGCCCCTTCAACCAAAACCATTCTGTGCTTCTATGATCTGCGTCTCATCTGAGCGGAGGGCTTGCAACTTGTGGCATGGGGGGGAAGTGCCTGTGTGAAATTACAGCTGAAAAAATGACCAAACTCTTTTTTTTTCCCAAAGAAAACTTTAATTTCAACAAGACGGGAAGCTGCACAAAGAGAGCTACCGCAAGTTTCTTCTCAACAATAGCTTAAAACTATCTACAACGGTACTTGTGGAGTAGGGGTCCTCCTTCTGAGTAACAGTCAGGCCACAGGGGCTTGGCCTTGCACAGGCACCAAACTGCTCTGTGTAAACAGCTCTGTCCTGCACCAGGATAGAGGCTGTCCTTCCCTTCACAAAGGCAAAGCAGCTTTTACTGGGGGGTGGGTAGGGACCCTGATAACAAAAATCCACCCCAGGAAACCAACACTTGCTGTTAAAGTGCTGTTTCCTCTTGAAGAAAGTCCATGCTGATGTGTTTTAAAACACAGCTTGCACATCACTCTAACCCAAAGCGTCATCCCAAGCCAGAGCCAAGTGGGCCAGGGAACCCCACCCTGTCCATCTCTGTGGCTCAGGCCTTCTGAGCCCATGGCAGGGATCCCTGCTGCCTTTCAGGGTGGCTAGTGCACCAAGGTCCCCCCAAAGAACATCCCACAAGGGATAGTACGGTGCAAACCCTCACCCTCCTGCCTTGCACAGGCACCCAGCACTGCTGGGAGGGTGCTGCTCCCAGCCCTTGGGCTGAAGAAGTGCTGCGGAGCCCAGCACCTGCAGTGGAGTTTCAGGCATGGGGTTATTAGCTCAGGACCATGCAGGCAGCTCCCTTCTCATTTTAACCACTTCCCCATGCTCAGGCATGAAGCTTCACACGTGCGGGGCGCTATGTGCTAGAGGGCAGTGAAGCTGCAACACGTGGCTTTCAGGTGGGGGCACACTGAAGTGGACAGAGCATCCCTCCTCCTATGTATTTAACATTAAAAGGAGTTGGTTTGAGCCTATCAATCAGTCAGCCTCCTTTCAGCCCAAGAATAAAAAGGTAAAGATTACCTCTGTTCGCAGGCTGCAGGGTGTCAACCAGCCTGGGCAAAGGGCCAGAAGGTGGCCAGAGTTTTTTCCCTGCATAAGGAAGCATGTTGCTCTCCCAGCTGAAGCAGCATCCTTCCGGCATGGAGCAGGCACCAGAGGTGACAGGGAAGAGGCTGCTTAAGAAGGGGAGGCAAAATCCAGGTGTTTTTTCTCAGCTCTGAGCTGGAAAGGTGTCTCACATCTCAAGCAAAAGGGAAGAGGCAACTGGAGTTTCTATTTAAAACCATCCTAACCAAAAATAAAGATTCAGGGAAACCATCCAACAGGAAAGAAGGGAAAACAAATCTTCAACCCCAAGCAGTAAGACTCCAATTAGTGTTTGTAACCATCCAAGCAGACAGCAAGGGCGGTGAGGAGCAGGGTCTGGCACCACTGCCCCAGGGCCACAGCTCACCGGTGCCCCGTCCTCATCACCGTCCCAGGCCCTGTGGCACCCCGGTGCCTGGCCATCCCCACCGGCAGGGGACGAGGAGCCTCCTGCCTCCACTGCCTATATCCGACCATCTCTTCCCCCCGCCCACCTCTGCCCATCAGTTCTCGCCCGCCTGGACGTAGTCCTCGGTGGCCTTGGAGATGGTGCTGAGATACTGCCAGCTCAGGGCGGCCAGGAGCATGGCGCACGACAGGTAGATGGGGGAGTAGTGGTGGCGTGAGGCCATGGGGCCGCTGGGCAAGCTCATGGCGCGGATGGAGGCGATGATCTGCTGCGTCTTGTTGGATGATGGGTCTGTGCTTGGGATCTTCTGGTAGATCTGGGGAGGGAGGGAGGAGGGGATACGG